GGCTTGGCCCGTGAGCTCGTGGGCCAAGCCGAGCTTTGGCTCACGAGCTCGTGTTTTTTTTTATAAGAAACCTTTTTCTTTAATTTTTTTTAAAAGATAAACCTCATCCTTTATCCGGGTTTAGGATCAACTACTTCAATTTCGAGTAGATGGAGTTAAAAATTGTATACGAATAACTTTTTATATCTACAATTTTTTAAAAAAATCAAAACGATATTATAAAATAACAATTTTTGATTAGTATGGTTAAATTAAATATAACTTACTTGACGACATGCAATTTCGACATATTTATCTTGTAGTAAAAAATGACCGTCTTGCCAATCTTTCACGCACGTTAATACTTTCAAAATATTTTCTTTCAGTAAAAGCAGACCCGAAGCTACAGTGCTAACCGGAGGTGTTAGTATGTCTTTTGCTATAGCAAAAATCACTGGGCATCGTCGTTCGTACTTCCGCCAGAATTCAATTACATCTTTTGAACTTTTCTTAATTGTTTTGTTACTAGGCATATCATGATTAAAGTAATCAATTAATTTAGTAGGCAACGTATTTGGACTTGCGTCCAATGTTTGATTACATGCGGTAGAGAAACAATTACTAGAGGAACTACATGCATTTGCACTAATGCCTTTTTGCCATGCCAATCGTTATTGACAATATTTACACACTACTTTAGATTCTGCAACTCCATCGACCACACGACTTATTTGAATAAATTTAAAATGATCCCAACATTTTATCTATTTTTCCCCTTTCGCTTCCCTCTTGCAACGGGAATATATAATTTATGTTCATCTTCCCATTTCGCCTCGAAAACATCAATATCATCCAAATCAATTGAATTACTACTTTCATGAGTATCGAAATTTAGAATATTTTCAGGAATAGGAACTTCGTTTAGATCGACGAATTCATTCTGAAATTGACTTTACGGCGTGATAGGTGATTCACCTCCGATACCAAACAAGCCTTCAACAAATGTGTGTAGATCCATTTGTGAATTGATATAAAATGTATAGTAACAAATCAAGAATTGAAAGAAAGTTGATGTGTAAGATTGTAATTGAAAATTTGTAGT